TCAAATTAAAAAGACTTGTTTTATGCAAGGGACCGGGATCCGATGACATACCACCAGTTTTCATTGTCAATTGCGCTAAACAATTGTCACGCCCCCTTACCATAATATTTAATAAGTCTCTAAAATCAGGTATCTTCCCAGCACGTTGGAAAGAAACTAAAATTGTGCCAATTCATAAGGATGGCTCTAAGCGAGACATAAAAAATTATAGACCATATCTATTTTCTCAAAAGTATTTGAAAGTATTATCTATTCTTATCTATACAACCATGTTAAAACTCAGCTAACAAATAAGCAGCATGGATTTATCAAAGGTAGATCCACTAACACGAACATGGTCGACTTTGTCGAAACCTTGACGGAATTTGTTGATCAACGTGTTCAAGTCGATACAATATATACTGACTTTAGCAAGGCATTCGACAAGGTAGACCATGAAATACTTCTTCATAAATTGTCTCACTTTGGTATTGGGGGCTCTAACTTACAGTGGCTTGCGTCCTATTTAAAAGACCGCCAATCATTTGTGGTTGTCAATGGAGCTAGATCGAAAACATTTATCGTCACATCAGGTATTCCTCAAGGTTCAAACCTTGGTCCACTCTTGTTCTCAATATTTATAAACAATATAGTTAATTGCTTTCCTAACTCTGAGCCTTATATTTTTGCGGATGATCTTAAGGTGTTAAGGCCAATAAGAAGCATTAGTGATAGTGTATTGCTACAAGAGGACATTGATAGATTGTGTAATTGGTGTAGAGACAATAAAATGCTTTTGAATGTGAATAAGTGTCACGTCATAACTTTCTCACGTAACAAAGAACCTTATTTATTTCAATATAAGATAAATAACACACCTTTAGAACCGGCTTCTATTATTCGAGATCTTGGTACTATGATTGTCAGCACATTAAGTTTCAATACTCACCTAGATGATATCATAAAAAGGTCCTCCAAAATGTTGGGTTTTATTATGCGGAATTCTAGACAATTTAAGGACCCTAAAACTATTATATTGCTATATAATACATTAGTAAGGAGTATTCTGGAATACTGTCCTCAAGTCTGGAATCCATTTTATGAAGTACACAAGAACCGTATTGAAAAAATTCAAAAGCGATTTTTGTGCTTTTTATGTCACCACACAAAGAAATCACATTTATTGATTTCATATAATAAAAAACTTAAATATTTTAAAATGACAACACTTAACAATAGAAGGAAAAAACTAGATCTTATGTTCTTGCACACATTATTACATATTACATAACCATATTGACTGCCCGCAACTTCACAGATAAAATGGCATTTTCTAAAAATAAATAATGTTCAATAAATATTAATAACAATTTAAGCGTAACCAGTGACTGCTACTAACTGCGTAGTGTGCGTGGATTATTGCGTATGCATAGACTTAATATATAAGTGCCCTCTAGTGAGATTAAAATAAGTCTAGCCTAGTGCTTTGGAATGTAGATGGAGCACATAAAATGTATCATTTTGTTCGTAAAATAATGTTCTAAGTTGCACCCCCATACTTAGTAATAGAGAGCCTGCACACTTTCCGGGACCTTGTGATAATAGTGTATACATTGCCCCAAGAATAAATTAATCACTCTGTGGAGTTGAGCAACTGGCATCACTAGCTTGTTTGTTCCTAGTGTTTACAGAGTGTATATCACTTTTTTTTACTAAAACTACCTTTGTTTTTGTGAACATACATTAAATTTTCGTAAATATACTGAGAGGCCAAAGATAATGTATTTATTTCTTTAAATGTATCTCTAAGAGACACGGTTTTAGGTTTTAAATAGCTCTAATGGCCCTCTTCTGTATAAATAAAAATAGTTTCTGAATCAGCCGCTTTTCCCCAAAATCCCATAAGCCATTATGCTATGGAAATAACTGAAATAAACTAATCTAGCTGCTTCAACACTAGTAAGACCTCTGATCTTTTTTACAATATAGGCTGCAGAACTTAGTCTGCTTGCTTTTGTGGATATATAGGGGCCCCACTGAAGCTTTGTGACGAGTGATGCCAAGAAAAACAGTGGATTCAACAGGGCTCTGTTCTTCCCCATCTATAAACACATTGGTATTCAGAGTTTTAACATTGAATTTCGTAAATTTAATATATTTAGTTTTATTTCCATTTAAATGCAGATTATTAACGTTAAACTAATGCAATAATTTTATATAAAACATGTTTTCAACCTATTTTGGAATATGCATATTCCAAAAATTATATTGAGTTCCTGGCGAAGCTTCAACACAGATATTCAAGTTTCTACCACATTTTTATCAGGCAAATTATAATGATTTCTCCGGCAATAACAAGAAATTACCCCAACTTCAATTTGGAATATTAAAAAATATTAACAAACTTACGAAGGTGTTCGTCAATGTTTTGTACAAATTTAGTAGATTAGTCTTCTTTAGTACAAACATGCGTACATTAACGCATAAACAAATTCTACAAACTTCACTGAAGGCCATTCCTGTTTCCTATAGCTTTAATATAATGGAATTCACTTTTTCGTCAATAAACCGGAGTTTTCAAAAATATTACAATACACACCATCACGGGCAGTAATCTTCATTGAGAAAATAAAAAATATTGGACATAGGAAATGTCATAGCAAAATGATATATGACTATGACTGTTAACACCCCCCCTCGCCCCTCAATATCCCTTCTAAGCACAGATTAACTAGTAGATTCTACACGAATCTTTTAAGTACAGACTAACTAGGAGATCGATCGCAGCTCGCAGCCATTTCGGGTAGAATCTACTAATTAGTCTCTACATATTTATTTATCTATAGCCGGCGCCCACCTAAGTAACGTAACGCATGATCTGACGCGTGATTTGACGCGTAACTTGTCACTCGCCTCAATATTCAAAGAGATTGTATGTAGTAGCGCCCATTAGCGTGGCGTGATGCTGCATGACCTGACGTGTCATTCAGCTTGCTACTAGTGACGCATTGACCGCAGCGCCCACCTAAGCTACATGATTTCGACATGGCTTGTAGCATGATTCTGACGATACTCTGACGTGACCATGGGTGACACTGCTTGCGCCAACCTGTGCAACAATAGCATATCGCAGAATTGAGTTTGAGCCAAAAATGTCGTCTGAAGAAGATAAACATGCCCTTGCTATGCTACAGATTCAATATTCGAAGTGCCAGTAAAAGATTTCGGGTACATGCTTCGAGGAAAAAAATTGAAAAGTGGTGGTACTTTCAATGCTATGAAGGAATTAGAATTATATTTTGCATAGGCAAGTCACTATAAGTTGCAAGAAGTATCTTGCGAATTCCTGTTAATGTAATCGGGTCTAGAACAATCATATTGTATACATGGCCTTTCATGAAAAGAAAAAAAGCTAGGTCGTCTTTCACTTTGTATAGACAAGTCACTGCAAGTTACGTGTTACGCGCCACGCTCGGTCGATCGAAAAAATATTTATAGTTTGAGATGTAATATATATTATATTGTACCCCATAGTGAAAAGCGGGCTTTATAATTGCTATTAGCTGATTTGATCCTGTCAACTTGACAGTGTCAAATCTGTCAATCAAAGACACTGACTTAGAACATAGATATAAGAAAAATAGGGGATATGGCATGTGGTCACGTGATCTGAAGTCGTGTTTCTCAAATATTGCGACGACTCCACCCACAAGAAATAGCGTTGTTTTTGTCGATATTTTCAGTATCGATGCTATATAAATTATGACGTTTGTCCATCTCATAGGTATATATTAAATAAACAAATATTAGATCACTACAATTGCATTGGGTTAATCCTGTAATAATAGTTGTATTGAGATGATAAATAAATAAATCTTACGTTCAACTCAGAATAGGAAAGTTTTGAAACTGTAATTGCTTTAAGATATGGTGAAGCAACAGTCAAAAGTGAGCGAAGAGACCAAGAAAAGAGCACTTGATTGGAGCTTTAACTCCTTTCTTTTCAGAACACGTATACGACGTGCACCAGAATATTATACTGAGTTCGTGCAACGAGCTAACGTTTTTTCGTAACGACGGCAATGTGCACATAAGCACTCCATCCGTGCGTCCCTAGGTCGACGCATGCATTTTTTCTCTCCTCTGCAGAGATTAACGAAACCACCACTATGAGCAATGTATTAGGCTTCGTATGATTTTTTTGTCCAGCCCATGCTGTCCCACTACTAGGCAGAAGTCTCGCCTAAGTTTTTCCCAGTAATTTTGTCCTGCACCACATCGAACCAGTCTCAACGGTATGCGTCCAGGTTGCGTGAATTATATCATATATATAGACTTTATAGCGGCTGGGAAGTTAGTTGCGAGCGCAAGTCCTGTACCTTCACGCTTCGCTTTACGTACTGTGATCTGAGACACCATCAAGTTTTCTTTCAACTATATCTGCACGGACTAGCGCTCGCTCTTAACTTCCAAGCCGCCATAAAGATTCGACAACACCTTTCTTTCGTGATAATGGTCGGTTACCAGTTCAAGTCACCATGAACGTGCAGTAGACTGACCTTTATGTTGATTTATTTAAAGTTTGTGGAGCATGTGTTCTTTCATACATAGTTACTAGCCGTCATCTCTCTTTGTTTTGATAATAAAGATTATTTATTTATTTATCTCAGTAATCTAATCGAGTTGAGCAGCCCCTTTCTAACCAGACCACCGTTCACACAATCCATTAATCATTTAACTATTCTAACGTGTTCCTCAATCTTCAGCATCCCATGTTCATACCATATGACAACCAATTTCCATGCAACATTTCGATCAATAGGGGTGGCTGCGCCACTTCAGACTTCCAATTCTATACTCATTTCTCATTATATCCCATTTGTGTAACACCACAAAATATCAATTTTATAGTGTTTACAACCTGCAAGTTGTAATGACTTCCACCAGTAGCGTAATTAGTGGTGGATACTGGAGGTAAACGAGAGAGTAAGGATTAAAAATAAATAAAATAACAATAATGTATACTGATTAAAATCATTTATTCATGACGAAATAATATTATTTAGTCAGAAAATTTATTTTAGACACATGAACCAAATCACCCTTAAGCCGAACTACATCCAGCGTTCTATTTAGACATTATTTTTCAAAATGCAAGGAGCATATTCTTCTTACTACTGCAGGTTTTATGTTTTCCTGGCCTATATTATCAATCCACAATTTTTGAAGGCCTTTATTTTTTGGCAACCTAAAATAAATATTATGCATCCTTAAGTACCAATCAAAAATAATCTTAACATCATCAAATCTTTTGATGAAAAAAACTATTATAGAAAATTTACGATTTACACTATTTTCAATTTCTTTTCTTAAATGAAAGGCTCTCAATCGATCGTTTGATTAAATATACAGTTTACGTATCTAAAACGTTATTTGATCATAGGACTACATTAATATTATTGTTAAAATTTATATCGATAATTTCAAAACATGACAGCACGTAAGGGTAACACTATGTAAAAATGTAAACAATCAAATAGTCATTGGAAATTCTAGATAATAGTGGGAAACACGATTTAGAACTCACAGCATGAACACGAAACACAATTCACACGAAAAAATATACAATTATGGAAATATTGCAACAGAATAGATCACTGTCTTCAGTCATTCTATTAAGAACGCGTAACATTCGCGTTAAAGGCGCCTTGTCGAGTAAATTTGTACCCGTCTGGAACATACGGCCTAATCCGCGCCAATATGCCACTATAATATTATTTGTGTCCATGGACTACAGTAACCACTTGCCATTAGGTAACTTATAGCTTATTTTAATAATGTCACAAAATGTGTATATCTTACCTATTTCATAGTTCCCATTTTCTTCATATTTGAAATTCTCATTTTCTAAATTCTCTTCTTCAACTTTAACAGATTCAAGGCTAAACATTTCGTTCTGACAATCATTATCTAGATCACACTCTACTGGCCTGATATCTATATGACTAATTGGTGTGAATTGAATCTTATTTCTAGCCTCATGATGATTTGGTATTGACTGAAACCAAATTCTTTTGTTAAATAAGAGAAAAAGACAATGTAGTGGTGCCGTAGGAGAATCCATACTAACATATCATCCCGCAGATGTCGTAAAAAGGGACAGAGGGAAACTGAAACAGGAGTTGGGCAGCAGCATCTTCCTGACAACAACTCCAAAAATAGTAAAAACCGGACAAAGTGAGGGTTCCGAATAAACTTACATAAGAATGTATATAGTTCATCCATCCCGAGTATCGAGCCTCAACAATATTTCCAATCAGATTCACGAATGCAGTAAATTGACAATGATCTATCTTTGTTTACTAAGACATAAACGATTTTTATAATATATAACATAAAAGATTTTTAATATTGATGTGGTCACTATAAGATGTTGTTAGGTTAGCTAAGTACATAATAACTTAAGACAGAAGGACCCTTAAGTAGGGACTGAATAAATTAACCGACTTGGTATTACATGGATCTCACAACTTTTTACGGTAGCAAAACTGAGTTGCGAGTCTTGGTTTTTACAAGTTATGTTTTTGATGGCATCTCATCTCTTTTTGTAGATAGTTATATCAAGGTACCTATCTACGCCTATTATTCCATTAATTATCAATATTTAAATAATATATTAATTAACAACGAAACCGGTAAAGACAAACCTCGTAACTCAAACTATCAATTAAAAATTAACAACGATTTAACTAAATCAAATCAAGAAGTCGCAGCGGTGTTTGAGAAATATTTCACTGATATTCCTATCTTGACAACAGAGTCATTGAATACTTCTCCAACTGTCGCCGAGTCATTACTCAAACAGAATGTTAATACCTGTTTAAAAGAATTTAGATTTGAAAAAGTATTATCGCAAGATGTTGTAAAATACTTCAAAACTATTGATGTTAAGAAGACCGCAGATTTGTGGGGGATTTCCGTTACAGTTATTGCGTCCATAATAGATTTAATTGCACCTCATCTTGCTATTATTTTAATACTTGTATCGATTCTGGTGTGTTTCCTGATTTAATGAAGTATAGTAAAGTAATACCTTTATTTAAATCTGGTAGTACATTAGACTCCGCTAATTTTAGACCTATTTCTGTACTACCAACTCTCAGTAAAATTTTCGAAAATATTATTTTGGATCAATTGTTAATTTTTTTAATACTAATAAATTACTTCATAATAACCAATTTAGTTTTACAAGGGGTCGCTCGACGTCTGACGTCGGTGTTGAGCTTATGAAATATATTTTTAATGCCTGGGAGAATTCACAAGATGCCTTAGGTATTTTCTGTCATCTTTCCAAGGCTTTCGATTGTGTTCATCATGAGACATTAATCAGGAAACTACAACATTACGGTGTAAAAAATTTAGAGTTTAGACTTATTTCTTCACATTTAAGTAACAGAACTTAAAAAGTCGTGATCAATGGTAAAGGTTCCTCCGGATCAGTAGTATCAATTGGCGTTCCTCAGGGCTCGATTCTTGGCCAATTCGTTTTTAATCTATAAGTCATTAGACTTACCTTATCTTGTAGGGGACAATCACGATATAGTATTATTTGCTTACGATACCTCTTTAATTTTCAAACTCAAACGGCAGTTAATTAATTATGACGATGTAAATAATGCTCTATCGAAATTGGTACATTGGTTTAACGCCAACAATATGCTCTTAAACGGCAATAAGACAAAGTGTATTAAATTTACAATACCTACTGTAAAACATTCGAATACCAATGTGCTGTTAAATGGGGAGGAGTTTAGTCTTGTGGATACCACTGTTTTTCTTGGTATTACTATTGACGCGAAACTTCAATGGGGCCCCCATATATCAAAATTAGCAAGCAGACTTAGTTCTGCAGCATAATAGGTAATGCGACTGATACTGAAGCTATATTTGTTTTGCAAAAGAGAGCCGTACGGGCGATTTATAACCTAAATTGTAAAGAGTCCCTCAGAGAAAAATTTAAAGAAATAAACATATTAACTTTGGCATCGCAATATATTTATGAGAATGTAATGTATGTGCATAAAAACATAAATAGATTTAATAAGAATAAGGATGTGCATACTTTAAACACTAGGAACAAACATAAGCTTGTAATGCCAGTTACTAGACTCCACAGAATCAGTGATTCATTTATAGGGTAATGTATACGCTTTTACAACAAAATCCCAGAACATATTCAAAGTTTGTCAATAAACAAGTTTAAAAGTTTTATTAAAGAAAAACTGTACAAAAAGGGTTATTATAATATCAAGGAATACATGAATGAAAATAGCCCCTGGGAATAAGGTGATCGCCACCATACTGGTTCTATGAAAAATCGAAATTATTGTTAAGTGAAATATGTTTGAAAAAAAAAGGTCCCGCTGGGTTTCTTGCTGGTTCTTCTTCCCAGGACTGGGGTGTTTTCCGAACCAGTGGTAAATATGTAACTACACTTAGCATATGTACCTATAGTACCTATGTAACTGCATTGTGTGAGGCAGTAGCAATATGGCCTGCACTGATGTAGCACGCGTGTTTATAATAAACTGCTATTTCCTACAAGGATTTTATCTCATTTCTATCACACTACACGGACATTAGTTAAAATACATAAAAAATGACTTTCAATAAGTATTATGTAATAATCAATATTGAATAAAAAATTATTCTATTCTATTCTATTATATTATACATATATAGATACACTGATTCATTCTATGCAAATGTAACTTTGTAATCCTATATATTTATATGGGATTACAAAGTTATTTATGCAGTTGGTGTATCTCGAAAACTGGAGTGAAATTGCAAAATATTTTAATTTTTCCTTGATTTATATACTAAACAATAATTGTACTCCGAATTTGAAGCTTCTATATCTATTGGATTGAAGGATAAACTTAACTTTACAGTAGAAAAAAACATTCTCCCATATGGCAACGGGAAGCAGCATAGAAGGCACGAGACAGGTAGTGATCATCAGGCAGTGAAATTTTATTAATAACAGGTATAATACCGTGGACCGTGTAGTGGCGGTGTAAGAATATCCACTGCCCTATATACCTACCCATGGGACGGGTGTCGTAAGAGGCGGCAGAGGGAAACAGCAACAGGAGTTGGGCGGCAGCATCTTCCTGATAACCACTCAGACCAATATAAACTGTGGTTGCCAACCTGCCGAGCGTGGCAAATTAGGCAAAACCCCTCCTATATGAAGCAGTCTATGAGGGACTTTTATAGGTTTTAATGGATGGAACGGATAATACCATGGACCCTCCTGCAAGTAACTGCTCCAGAATTGCATTTGACTCAATAGCCTGTTGTTGTAATGTTAAGCAACGAATGAGTCTTGCATGACAGGTGAAACAGACAATTATGGGCTCCTCATCCTCATCCATCTGAAAATATGAAAGTTCATCATAAATATGGAAAACTACTTAAATATTCAAGTTTGTAATAAAATCTATTGGCTACCTTCAACATCATTTTTACTACATTGAAGTGACAAATAAACTTACAAACCAATAGGCACCTGCAACGAACTGCAAGCAAAGGCTACAGATGCGATGTTACCTCTGAGGACTAAGATGTAATGCTTCACAGCGTATTATTATACTGGCTCTCAATGTCCTTCACACCGGGACACATACTGCTGCTGGTGGCAGAAATAGGCAAGAGGATGATAATGAGGAGGCCCTTTTTACTGGAAATGAGGCATTCCATCTTAGTCCTCACGGGTGACAACGCATCTGCATTTTGATTCGCAAACGAGGATAGATGTAGATGTCTATGGGCCGCAGCAACCACTTACCATCAGGTGGACTGTGTGCTCGTTTGTCACCCCTATCCTATAAAAAAAAAACTACCCAGACAGGCTCCTAGGCAGAAAAAAGTCGTGCCACCTAGTGAATCATCATCACTGCAAAAACACAGTGTTAAGCCACCTGCATCCATCGACTTCCTGTGTTGCCAGATTGCCACTATCCAGTGGGGGGCCACTAAACAATTTGCTTGCCAGTATGAGGCTTTCAAAATTCAATCTTACTAAACCTACTTTCAAGTTTTAACTACTAGCATCACTATTAACATTACAAATACTTCTCTTACTTACTCCAAGTAAACTGAAAATGCTTATGCAATATAACAATAGACAAATGGCAAATTTGAACTTAATACTTTCTTGAGTTTGCAGTTTACACCCTTAACTATTAGGCCATTGTCACTTAGTTTCAAATGGAAGTTAATAAAAATATACATCCCCTAGCAGTTTTAACCTTTTAATTTAATATAAATTGCAGTATGAAGTAACTAACAGGTGGGTTTGGTCATCTAACAATTTCATTATTTTATCTCATAAGGATATGGGCAGTAGAATTTTCTTCACAACAGGTCAGAATAATAAAAAAACTGCAGTTGCCAACCAGCCTGCTTAGCGTGGCAACTATGGCAAATAATAATAATAATAATACAAGATACTAAAAATATAAAATAGAATGATTTTTTATTAAATTTATATCACATGTGTAATTCTTATTGAAAGTCTATTCAACGTCTATATCAGAACTATTCAACGTCTCAGAAAAGGAATCGGGTCTGTCCTACATGTAGTAAAGTAAAGAAAAGGGGGGATAATGCAAACACACCGGTGAGAGCATCTACAACAGAAAACACAATTCTTACTGACAATACAGTTACACCGACCTGTACCTGGGTATCACAACGAGCATTACGCAAAAACTCAGATCAATCGTCTACTGATATACTACAAGAACCTGAACATATATGTTTAACTAAAGAAGATATCAGAGAGATTATTCGAAGTGAACTCTGTAATATCTTTAGAAATGAAATTAATGACATGATAAAAAATACTATCAGCTCTGAAATACGCTCTGTCGAGTCTGAGGTAATAATTCTTCAAAAAGAGCTTAGCTCCATGAAGGAATCAATGGAGTTTATCAACCAACAATACGAAAAAATAAAAATCGATTCCATAAGAAATAATGAAGATAACACACGACTTCTCAAAGAGGCAGCTGAAATGAAAACTCTTAATATGGAACTAACCTGAAATTAACAGTCGCTTAACAAAAGTTTTAATGAGACTGAACAAGCCGCAGATTAGGATAGTAACAAGTGCTATCACAGGACACGGCACCTTTAACAAACATTTATTTACTATAGGTGTTACAGATAGTCCCCTGTGCAGGGCATGTATGGGGGAGGAAGAAACGGCGGCCCACGTGCTACTGAAATGTCCGGAGGTCGCTACATACAGGGCTAAACATCTCGGCACGCCGGGATCACTCCCCGAAGTTGCATGCAACATCAAGGGCCTGTTGAGCTTCTTCGGAGAGATCTCATGGCTCGAATAATCACATTATTCCTGCCCACACGCAAAATACGCGCATAGACGTGGAGTTGCGGAAAACAGCCCGTCGTAAACTAAACTAAAACTAAACTAAACTAATATGGAACTAAAAAATCGTCTAGAACAACTGGAACAACACGCACGCTCTGCTAATATCGAGATTCAGTGTAGTACCTGAGCACAAATCCGAGAACCTTATCTCGACAGTAATGCAATTAGCAAAAACTGTATCATTCGACCTTAACGAAAGCGACATACATGTGTGTACTAGGGTAGCAAAATCCAATCCATCGTCATCCCGACCACGATCCATTATTGTCAAAGTAACAAGCCCATTAGTTCGGGATGGACTACTTGCTGCAGTTATACGGTTTAACAAGAAAAACCCAAGTGACAAACTCAACTCGTCTCACTTGGGCATTGGAGGTAACAAAAGACCTATATATGTCTCCGAGCATTTATCTTTACATAACAAAGAACTTCATAAAGCTGCAAGGATAAAGGCGAAGGAAAATAATTATAAATTTGTATGGGTGAGAGGCGGTCGCATATTTATTAGACAATCTGAGAACGCCCCTGCAGTTTTCATTAAAAATATTGATTCGCTGAACAAAATATAACTTTAGCTTTAGTTGTTGCATATAGTGTAAGATTAGTGTGTATAAATTCATATTATTTGTTATAATGGCTATGAAGTCTATAAATTGTTACTATCAAAACGTAAGAGGTCTTAATACTAAAATTATAGAATTTTATAATCATGTGTTGCTGAACGATTATGACATTATTTTTGTTACGGAATCCTGGTTGCAGTCTAACATACTAAATTCAGAGTTGTTCGATGAACGATATATTGTGTATAGGAGAGATCGTAATATTAATGCATTATCCTGTAAAAAAACTGGAGGGGGAGTAGCGATAGCAGTACGTAAACATTTTCAATCATATAAAATAGAAACTAAGAGTAAATTAGAAGAATTATGGCTTACTATTCAATTCAAGAGAGGCAAACATTATATTAATATTTGTGTTGGTGTAATTTATCTTCCACCACCTATAAATCAGACAGACTTGGAACAGTTTCTAGAAAGTTCCAGTAATATTATATCTGAACATTCGGGTGCTCTTCTGGTTGGGGATTTTAATATGCCAAATAAAAAATGGTCTAAGAGTGACAATGGCTGTTTTTTGAATCCCGTAAATTCACATTGTTCTTCCTATAATTTTATTTGCGAATTTTTAGCTTTGAATAATTTGAAACAATATAATCATGTACAAAACAAAAACGCTAAAACACTTGATCTCGTGCTTTCTACATTTTCAGATATTTACCTCGAGGATAGTGGCAATCCTTTAGTCAGAGCCGATTTATACCACCCTCCATTGGAGTTCATTGTTTCACTACCCACGTATCAAAATTTACACTCATGCCGAATACCACGGTTTAACTATTTTAAGGCAGATTACAGTTCTATAATCGATGATCTGCAAAAAATTGATTGGTTATCGTTGGTTCTGCACCATGATAATGTCAATGAAATGGTTAACGTTTTTTACGCAACCTTACGCAAAGTTATTACGGCTCATGTTCCCCTGACTAAACCTAAATGCAATGGTTATCCGGCATGGTTCCGCGGAGATCTTATTAAAGTTCTAAAAGAAAAAAATAAAATACGTCTTCGTTATAAAAAATATCATAATCCTTTAGATAATATCAGTTATGAAATACTAAAAAAAAGAAGTGAAAAATTATTATCTTTAAGTTATAATAACTACTGTAACAGAATCGAAAGCAGCATCTCACAAAACCCAAAATACTTTTGGACCTTTTTAAAAAATAAACGTAAAAATAGAAGTAATATTTTATCATCTATGTTTCTGGAAAATGAGTTAGCTGAGGATAATGTAAAGATTAGTGAGTTGTTTGCAAAAAATACTACTAATGTGTATAACTGTAACATAAAAAATACTGAAGAGCAGTTGAATACCTTAAATCATTTAAAACTAAATGAATTAGAAGTCTTCATCAAATTAAAAAGACTTGTTTTATGCAAGGGACCGGGATCCGATGACATACCACCAGTTTTCATTGTCAATTGCGCTAAACAATTGTCACGCCCCCTTACCATAATATTTAATAAGTCTCTAAAATCAGGTATCTTCCCAGCACGTTGGAAAGAAACTAAAATTGTGCCAATTCATAAGGATGGCTCTAAGCGAGACATAAAAAATTATAGACCATATCTATTTTCTCAAAAGTATTTGAAAGTATTATCTATTCTTATCTATACAACCATGTTAAAACTCAGCTAACAAATAAGCAGCATGGATTTATCAAAGGTAGATCCACTAACACGAACATGGTCGACTTTGTCGAAACCTTGACGGAATTTGTTGATCAACGTGTTCAAGTCGATACAATATATACTGACTTTAGCAAGGCATTCGACAAGGTAGACCATGAAATACTTCTTCATAAATTGTCTCACTTTGGTATTGGGGGCTCTAACTTACAGTGGCTTGCGTCCTATTTAAAAGACCGCCAATCATTTGTGGTTGTCAATGGAGCTAGATCGAAAACATTTATCGTCACATCAGGTATTCCTCAAGGTTCAAACCTTGGTCCACTCTTGTTCTCAATATTTATAAACAATATAGTTAATTGCTTTCCTAACTCTGAGCCTTATATTTTTGCGGATGATCTTAAGGTGTTAAGGCCAATAAGAAGCATTAGTGATAGTGTATTGCTACAAGAGGACATTGATATATTGTGTAATTGGTGTAGAGACAATAAAATGCTTTTGAATGTGAATAAGTGTCACGTCATAACTTTCTCACGTAACAAAGAACCTTATTTATTTCAATATAAGATAAATAACACACCTTTAGAACCGGCTTCTATTATTCGAGATCTTGGTACTATGATTGTCAGCACATTAAGTTTCAATACTCACCTAGATGATATCATAAAAAGGTCCTCCAAAATGTTGGGTTTTATTATGCGGAATTCTAGACAATTTAAGGACCCTAAAACTATTATATTGCTATATAATACATTAGTAAGGAGTATTCTGGAATACTGTCCTCAAGTCTGGAATCCATTTTATGAAGTACACAAGAACCGTATTGAAAAAATTCAAAAGCGATTTTTGTGCTTTTTATGTCACCACACAAAGAAATCACATTTATTGATTTCATATAATAAAAAACTTAAATATTTTAAAATGACAACACTTAACAATAGAAGGAAAAAACTAGATCTTATGTTCTTGCACACATTATTACATATTACATAACCATATTGACTGCCCGCAACTTCACAGATAAAATGGCATTTTCTAAAAATAAATAATGTTCAATAAATATTAATAACAATTTAAGCGTAACCAGTGACTGCTACTAACTGCGTAGTGTGCGTGGATTATTGCGTATGCATAGACTTAATATATAAGTGCCCTCTAGTGAGATTAAAATAAGTCTAGCCTAGTGCTTTGGAATGTAGATGGAGCACATAAAATGTATCATTTTGTTCGTAAAATAATGTTCTAAGTTGCACCCCCATACTTAGTAATAGAGAGCCTGCACACTTTCCGGGACCTTGTGATAATAGTGTATACATTGCCCCAAGAATAAATTAATCACTCTGTGGAGTTGAGCAACTGGCATCACTAGCTTGTTTGTTCCTAGTGTTTACAGAGTGTATATCACTTTTTTTTACTAAAACTACCTTTGTTTTTGTGAACATACATTAAATTTTCGTAAATATACTGAGAGGCCAAAGATAATGTATTTATTTCTTTAAATGTATCTCTAAGAGACACGGTTTTAGGTTTTAAATAGCTCTAATGGCCCTCTTCTGTATAAATAAAAATAGTTTCTGAATCAGCCGCTTTTCCCCAAAATCCCATAAGCCATTATGCTATGGAAATAACTGAAATAAACTAATCTAGCTGCTTCAACACTAGTAAGACCTCTGATCTTTTTTACAATATAGGCTGCAGAACTTAGTCTGCTTGCTTTTATGGATATATAGGGGCCCCACTGAAGCTTTGTGACGAGTGATGCCAAGAAAAACAGTGGATTCAACAGGGCTCTGTTCTTCCCCATCTATAAACACATTGGTATTCAGAGTTTTAACATTGAATTTCGTAAATTTAATATATTTAGTTTTATTTCCATTTAAATGCAGATTATTAACGTTAAACTAATGCAATAATTTTATATAAAACATGTTTTCAACCTATTTTGGAATATGCATATTCCAAAAATTATATTGAGTTCCTGGCGAAGCTTCAACACAGATATTCAAGTTTCTACCACATTTTTATCAGGCAAATTATAATGATTTCTCCGGCAATAACAAGAAATTACCCCAACTTCAATTTGGAATATTAAAAAATATTAACAAACTTACGAAGGTGTTCGTCAATGTTTTGTACAAATTTAGTAGATTAGTCTTCTTTAGTACAAACATGCGTACATTAACGCATAAACAAATTCTACAAACTTCACTGAAGGCCATTCCTGTTTCCTATAGCTTTAATATAATGGAATTCACTTTTTCGTCAATAAACCGGAGTTTTCAAAAATATTACAATACACACCATCACGGGCAGTAATCTTCATTGAGAAAATAAAAAATATTGGACATAGGAAATGTCATAGCAAAATGATATATGACTATGACTGTTAACACCCCCCCTCGCCCCTCAATATCCCTTCTAAGCACAGATTAACTAGTAGATTCTACACGAATCTTTTAAGTACAGACTAACTAGGAGATCGATCGCAGCTCGCAGCCATTTCGGGTAGAATCTACTAATTAGTCTCTACATATTTATTTATCTATAGCCGGCGCCCACCTAAGTAACGTAACGCATGATCTGACGCGTGATTTGACGCGTAACTTGTCACTCGCCTCAATATTCAAAGAGATTGTATGTAGTAGCGCCCATTAGCGTGGCGTGATGCTGCATGACCTGACGTGTCATTCAGCTTGCTACTAGTGACGCATTGACCGCAGCGCCCACCTAAGCTACATGATTTCGACATGGCTTGTAGCATGATTCTGACGATACTCTGACGTGACCATGGGTGACACTGCTTGCGCCAACCTGTGCAACAATAGCATATCGCAGAATTGAGTTTGAGCCAAAAATGTCGTCTGAAGAAGATAAACATGCCCTTGCTATGCTACAGATTCAATATTCCAAGTGCCAGTAAAAGATTTCGGGTACATGCTTCGAGGAAAAAAATTGAAAAGTGGTGGTACTTTCAATGCTATGAAGGAATTAGAATTATATTTTGCATAGGCAAGTCACTATAAGTTGCAAGAAGTATCTTGCGAATTCCTGTTAATGTAATCGGGTCTAGAACAATCATATTGTATACATGGCCTTTCATGAAAAGAAAAAAAGCTAGGTCGTCTTTCACTTTGTATAGACAAGTCACTGCAAGTTACGTGTTACGCGCCACGCTCGGTCGATCGAAAAAATATTTATAGTTTGAGATGTAATATATATTATATTGTACCCCATAGTGAAAAGCGGGCTTTATAATTGCTATTATCTGATTTGATCCTGTCAACTTGACAGTGTCAAATCTGTCAATCAAAGACACTGACTTAGAACATAGATATAAGAAAAATAGGGGATATGGCATGTGGTCACGTGATCTGAAGTCGTGTTTCTCAAATATTGCGACGACTCCACCCACAAGAAATAGCGTTGTTTTTGTCGATATTTTCAGTATCGATGCTATATAAATTATGACGTTTGTCCATCTCATAGGTATATATTAAATAAACAAATATTAGATCACTACAATTGCATTGGGTTAATCCTGTAATAATAGTTGTATTGAGATGATAAATAAATAAATCTTACGTTCAACTCAGAATAGGAAAGTTTTGAAACTGTAATTGCTTTAAGATATGGTGAAGCAACAGTCAAAAGTGAGCGAAGAGACCAAGAAAAGAGCACTTGATTGGAGCTTTAACTCCTTTCTTTTCAGAACACGTATACGACGTGCACCAGAATATTATACTGAGTTCGTGCAACGAG